GTACCAAAGTTGCAAAGTGTTCTTTGGAAGCCAGATAGCCTCATGTAGCCCTCATTCTCTTCTATGGTTTACACAAGGCACAGAAGGTGCATGCCAGCTCTGCTTTCTTTCCGAGGACCATTAGCTCCCTCTAGTTTTACAATAAAAAAAGTCTCTCTTGAAAAAGAGCGTCAAGGTGGCACTAATATTAATAGATTTAATATTTAATAGATATATCTATAGTTGAAGAAAAAAATATATACCCACAACAAGTATATACAACCCTATACATACAATACTGTATTACATGCAGCCTTCTACTAGCGGTCCCTGACCTAGCTATGGGGAAAATAGCTTCTCCAGAACTTCTTTTGGAATATTAAAGGGATATTATAGCGGTAGGAATACAAATCTGTATTCCTAACACTATACTTCACTCTGGCTCCCCCTTCCCTTGCAGCCCCTTTTCCCGGCAATGTAAGGTTTAATAAACCCAATTCCAGTACCAATCTCCTTCAGCGCTGGGTCCGCCTCCTATAACGTCTCCCAACAGGAGGGGGAGGGCAGTGGTGCGCTAATGTACATGTGTCGTGAGCATATTAAGCCCTCCCCGTAGGAAAGGATTGCTGGATGTCCTCATACAGTGTCTGAGGTTGTCCAGTGGCAGGCAACCAAAAGCCACCTAGCAAGCAGTAAGTGCCTCTAGTGACTGTCTAATTGACAGCCACTAGAGGCAGTCTTAACATTGCAATGTAATTATTGCAGTATCTCAGAAACTGCAATAAGTTACATTGCAGGGTTAAGGGGGCAGAGTCACTACACCTAGACCACTTCAATGAGATGAAGTGGTCTGGATGCTTTACATTGTGTAAATGCATAGTTTCAGCTCAAAAACAACATTTAAATGGACCATTTAACACCATAACAAGCTCTCCAGTAATCTACACAGTTTAAGGAATACTACAAATTAAAAAAAGTGTATATAGTTCTTTTTTTTTTTTTAATGCCACATTTAAATGGAAAATAAGTCTTCTAGTGCCTGATTTCCATTACATTTGCTTTTATCATATGCTAGATGAGTCCTTTGATCTACTGCAAAAGAAGTTTTGGGACGGCTGAGCATAATTTAAAAGCAAACATTGTCAAATTACCTTTTGGAAGGTAGTACAGCTTTAAAACTTTCTGCAGACAAGACCCCTGTTGTCTGATTACAAGATCTCATGTGCTCCAACTTTTCGAAAAGTTTCCTGGAAGTCTTATACATTTTTATGATGTTCACTTTAGATCTGAGGAATTTAAAGTCCTTTGACTGGCAAGTTGAATGCTATTAATATATTCAGGAAAAAGAAAGAAATATTAAAAAATGTGAAAATATATCCAATATCTTAAAATATAAAAACCAAACATAAATAGTATATATTTTTTAAAATGTTGTAGGATGTGTCTTGTCCACAATTATTAAAGCAACTGACTACCTTGAAATAAAGATCAGAGTCAGATAAAAGTTTTGTGTGCTATATATATACTTTATTTGGGTATCCCCATACACAGTAGCAATACAGCAATAATAATAGGGAATCTCCAGACATTCATCAATGTATCTAAAGTATCATGCAAAAGTCATCTTTTATTTTTGCTTCTACACCAGGGTATTACACTCTTCATTTTCACTTTCTCCACTTACTTCTCTTTCAAAAGTTAGATAGGTAAAGCAGTAGGAATTGTCTACATGTTTCAAATGTTTTCTTTTTGTGAATTTTTACAATATTTATAGTCCATGTGGGTATCTCTGGCATAGCTTTCAGAAGGCCCTGTAAAGCCTATGGGGCACCCTGACAGAAATTAATTGGAAGGCCTAATTGATTAACATATCTCCCCAGATTCCTGATATCACCAGGTGTGACAGCAAGTGATGGGAATTTACCAAAAATAAGTTTTGACGTCTATATGTGTGGAACAAACATTCTTTATCATTGAAATTTGAAGTTTAATCATTAATTATTATTATTCTCTAAGAACCAAAACAACTTTAGCTTAATAAAACAGTTTTGTTGTATAGATCATGTGCCTGCAGTCTTACTGTGCAACTCACTGCTATTTGGGCATTAAAATCACTTTTGGTTCTGTTTATGCAGTTCTAGCTACCCCTCCTCCCTCCCCGCCTCCTGGATGTGACTCACACAGCATACATTAAAACAAATGGTTTCATTTTCAATCAGGTGGGACAGCACAATGTATTTACTTTAGAATTTGTTTTATCTCCTGCCCATTAAATTGAACTTTTATTATTATTATTATTATTATATTATTATTTATATAGCGCTAGTGTGAGAAAACCCACCAGGAATTCAGGGTTTTCTCTGAGCATTCATCTGCTTAGTTTATTATGTTAGTTTATGCCACATTGGTTCGGTAGATTGAAACTACTGAACACAGACCACCCTCCTGGCTCATTGACTTCAAAGGAGCCCGTCAATTAAGCGCTCTCTCAGGGTGGCCGCCATTCGTATACACGAATGCCACGTGGCGGAGAAAACGGCGCCATCTTGTTTGTTCAGGACAAAGGCAGCGGGACTTGGTCGTGGAACTAAAATCGGACACTCGACTTCCCGAACACCGGTCTCAAACATACGAACGATGGAACTGTATTACCCGAACAGCTAGGAGAGCGCTTTTCGGTACTTTGATGTATTTGTATGAGGGCAATCGCTCTTATGAGCCAGGAGGCTCCGTTCGTGGATTATGGAGTTATTTGACATTTTCAGAATTGACCGACCGCACACGCTGAATTCGTGGAACTATTTTGGGCAAGAGCTTTGTGTGCGGTCAATATGGGCATGGTGGGGGGGAGTAGGGGAGACCACTTTTACAGCCAGGACTGAACTACCGACCAGAAGAACTGAATGGCGAGCTATAATCACCCAGGCTCTCAGCCATTCGGCTCAAATCATACGAACCCATAGCTACCACTTCAGGGTTCGTTACAACTGGTGGCAAGTGGCGGGATTCGCAGCTCGAATGGACGTCCAGAACCGGAATATACCGAATGGCTCAGCAGTATGAGCTACTAAAGAGGACAACACTAAAAGATTTGCTGGAAGCTCTGGGCATAGTGGCAAGCAACAAGAACAAAGCCACGCTAATTGCAGAACTTTCTTCAATAAAGTATGCACTTTCCATGATCTACCTTGTGGATTATTCTGAGATCCTAACAAGTGCGGACTCTTTGGCTGGTTTTGGTCTTTTAAAGCCTTGTTCAATGAAAACACCATCTAGTAAATATCTACTGATGTCGCAATTCCTACGGTTTCTTATGAAAGTCTTTCTTTCCTTAGTGTTGCAGCTGAAATAAGCAAGCTAGCAAATGGCATTTCGCAACACCAGAAAAAAATTAGCGTTGGACTCTAGCAAATCGACATGATAGTTTGAAGGATTTCCTAATTCTTATTTTGTTTGCACGTCCTCTAAAAATTAAGACAGACAGGCCCATACATTTTTAGAAACTGTTGTGTAGTTATATGTTACTTTTAAGAAATATAACCAGATGGTGGGAAAGTACAGAGGTTCGAAGCGATGAAGAGTTACCCGTATTGTGTATTATATTTGCTGTTAAGGCACTTTGCGGTTTAACTGACACTTTCAAACCTCCTGACCTCTGGTCTCATGGTTTGTATGTCACCTGAACATCTAAGTAGCTTAACCATTCTTCTAATATGTGGTTTCAGAGTACCACATTCTTAATATCAGACCTGCCAAATAAAAATTAATCAGCCACATGTCATTTATAATATCCAGCCTTTTCAGTTGGACTGCAATCTCTGTTCTGCTTTCCAGCGTTAGATCCTAAGCTTGAAACAAAATAATAAAACAGCTTGCTCGGGAAGCTAGAGGCAAATGCATGACGTGCTTGACCACTATGAGATGAATGTCAGTAATACTCCATGACCCGCCTGAAATTAATGTGTGTAATATTTCTTGAGGATCTAGTTAACAATTTGTCATTTCAGTAGCATTTCTTCTTACTTTACTTTATTTACCAGGTAGCGCAATGACAATCAAATACATTGATGACTGACCTTTGGTACTTAAGGCTTTGTGGTTAACTGCTGCGATGTTCTTGTTGTAGTGCCCAGTCTAATGGCTAGCTGAACATCCTGGGAATGGTAGCCCTTAACACACGTAGGACCAATATCAGCCATTACTGTCCTTTGAGATGGTTTATAAATAAAATAAAAGAAGCATGCAATGACTACTTTTTTTTTCTTCCAAGAAGGGTCTTTATGTTTTAAGTTGCTATTAGACATAATTGGTTTGTGTGAAGTCTTACAATGTATTTAGTACATCTGTTTCTTTCAACTTCCTAACCTATGAGCAATGTATGAGAAAGCTTAACAGGAGTATTTCGGAATAAGCATAAATCAAGGGAGGTTTTGGAGAATTTTGTAATTCAGTGACAGGATTCGTTTTGCATGCTTCAAATATTCATAAAATATGGGTCAACAAAACTGAAAAAAAAAAAAAGAAACTAATGTAATTATGTAAAAGATATGAATGCATTTGCATTCCTTAGAATACATATAGTGTAACATAATATGCTATGTGTTTCAGCAAGATACCAGTACAAAACCAAACTTACTATTAAGCCAATAAACTCAGACCAAAGTGTAATTACTTACTATATGTATATTTACTAAGTGAATTGCAGTGCACCTGAACATTCTGAACACCCGTCTTTAGCTGTTTCCGTTCTTCCCGGGGAGCCCCCACTGATGGACCTTAAAGTACTCTGCCCGCTGTTGCTGCTATGTCTGCTCCTATGGAAGCTCCTGGAGTGAGTACGCGATGCACCCCTACCACCCCTGCTACGTACCAGGGGAACTGGTCAAGGGCTCCTGAGTGCGGCTAGTTCTGCCCACCCATTTACTAGTATATCTAAGGTCACCCCCATTGACTTTTTCTCATGGGGGCACCCTGTTGTGTTGACCAGTGGCTGTACTATCTTCCGTGGTGCGACTTGCTACCTGTAGTCGCTGCGCACTATGGGGGGGTCGATAGGAAGCTGAGGGAAGAAGCCTTGGAGAGGTTGGAGCACCCGATGGCTGAGGACCTCCTGCCGCCGTATTCTGCGTCTTCTTTGCGACAGCCGTAAACTGCGTCGGGCGATCCTGGCCGCACACCTCACTTTGCAGCGGACCTCTGAAGCGTGCAGCCACACATGTATTTCTTCAGTGACCTTGGCGAGATTTACCCGTCCACTCTCCATCCTGGAAGCGAGGGTCAATAAGGAAGGGCTTCTCCGCTGGCATGGTCCCTGGTCGTCCCCTGGGCTCAGTCTTTGTGGCGGCTTAGTCCACCAGGCCATCCGTTGAGCCTGGATTCCAGCCATAATGGCAAGAGCTAAGTGTGTCTGTGTCTGCCTGTGTGTGACTATTTGCCTGTGTGTGACAGTCTGCCTGTGTTTGTGTGTGATTGTCTGCCTGCCTGTGTGACAGTCTGTCTGTGTGACTGACTGCCTGTGTGTGTGTGACTGTCTATCTGAGTGCCTATGTGTGACTGTTTGCCTGTGTGTGTGTTTGACTGTCTGCCTATCTGTGTGTGTGACTGTCTGTCTGTGTGACTGTCTGTCTGACTGCCTGTGTGTGTGTGACTGCTTGCCTGTGTGTGTGACTGCCTGCCTGCCTGTGTGTGTCTGTGTGACTGCCTCCCTATGTGTGTGTGACTTTTTGCCTGTGTGTGACTTTCTGCACGTGTGTGACAGGCTGCCTGTGTGTGATAGTCTGCCTGTGTATGACTGTTTGCGTGTGTGCCTTTCTGCCTGTCTATGTGACTGCCTCCCTGTGTGTGCGTGTGACTGTCTGCCTGCCTGTGTGTGACTCCAATTGTGTGTGTCGCTGTAGCTGTGCCGTTGTGTGTGCCTGTGCCTATATGTGTGACTATCTGCCTTCAACTGAGTGTGTGTGTGCCTATCAGCATGCGTGAGTGTTTGCATGCCTGTAACCGAATGTGAATGACTGTCTGCTTGTAATGAAGTATGTGTGACTGTCTGCTTTTGACTTTGTGCCTGTAACTGTTCGTGATTGTTTGCCTGTAACTGTGTGTGACTGTCTGCCTTTAACTGTGTGTTTGGCTCTGTGACTGTCTACCTGTAACTGAGCATGTGCGACTGTCTGCCTGTAACTGTGTGTGTGAGTGTGACTGTCTACCTGTAACTGAGCGTGTCTGACTGTCTACTTGTAACTGTTTGTGTGACTGTCTGCCTGTGTGTGTGACTGTATACAGGCAACTTGGTGGGGGGGGCCCCGTGAAGACTTTTCGCACAGGTCGACTAATGGCCTAAGGTCGGCCCTGGCTGTGTCCTGTGGTTAAATAAGAAGGGGTGTGCTAATATTTTACCTTTGATATGCGATGGAAAAACAACATACTGTAATACATTGTACATTACTACATGCAGGACCTTTTGATTAACAGTAATATATATTCTTAGAAAATATATCTATTAGCTATATAATGGGAAAAGTGTTGCATATGTCTATAGGGCACTATCTAGGGATAAACATACATTAAATTAACAATTTGCATGAGATTACAGACTTGGAGCTGGCTACTGTAGTTATACCTGGAAAACTCTGGAAAAATCTAGAGAAGAAGCCAGACTTCGGATGAAGGGTTAAAGGAACACTATAGTAACACGAAAAACAAAGATGTCTTTCTGGCACCATAGTTCCCTATATTGCCCCTTCCCCCCGTGGTTCTATCACTTACCTAAGTCCAGTGCCAATGTCCCTTGGCACAGGCTCAGGGTCCGCCTTCACGCCTGATGTCGGCAGGGGGAGACTTGATGCACATGTGCGGCAATGGCTGCGCTCTCATTAGTACAGTGCTTTCCTATGGGGTTTTGGGTGACGCTGGAAGTCCAGCGCGAGCGTCAGCTAGGTGACCAAAAGTCACCTAATGACCCGGATGTCCCTCTAGTGGCTATCTGGTAGACAGCCACTAGAGGTGGAGTTAACCCATAAAGGTAATTATTGCAGTTTATTCAAAACTGCAATAATTACCTTGCCGAGGTCAAGGTACCTGGGAATATGCACCCAGACCACTTTAATAACCTAAGGTAGTCTGGGTGCCTTTAATGTAGCAAACGGAGCTCAGGTGTGTTGACAAAACTAAAACTGCCATAGCTTTGTAAGAGAAAAACAAACATCAAACTGAGCTCAATTGAAGATATATTCCAACTATGCTATTCTGGCCTTTTCTTGCATATTGATTTTTAAGCCAACAGCAACTAACAGTTCAGTAAATAAGCCTAACATTTTTTTTTTTTAAATTGAGTTTATCATAAATACCTAATTTTTAAAGGTGTCACTTGACTATTGTACATGTTAATGCCATATATTATCCACCAGCGTGGATCAAGTGATCGCAGCAGCCTTATATAATCATTGCTTTATATTTTATTCCACAGTTTATTCATGTAAATCTTTAATTACACAAAGGCTGTAATATAGAATTATTCACACAGTGTGTACGTTAGAGAATCACTGTATTCGCAAGTAAAAAAAAATAAAAAATACTGCTTCTTTAAATGTTTACTCTTGTGGTACTAACGTGTAACCATACATGTGGGACAGCAAAAATGGAAGACGACACATTAAATGACATTATTATAAAATGCAATACTCTAGGAATGATCCCTTATTAAATTAGGTTCTATGATCTGAGATGAATTTCCCCTATCCCTAATCCATCACTGGGAAAATATTAAAAGATAGGTATCAACTGGTATTAGAATTGCACTCAGTCTCAACTTTCATTATTTTGAATTAGGGTGCTACTGGGGGAAAGCCTCTTAATGAGAATTAGAGTGATTCACTGGCCTGCTTTTGGATTTTGACAAGTAAAATATTAACTCTTCAGTCACAGCTGTCTGAATTAAAATACTTGGCAGCCACAGAAGCACAAATTAAATTGCCCTTTATGTTTCCACATTTCTGACCTCCTTAGGGGCAAGAAACACAAAGTACAACAATAACCGAAAAAATATAAAGAAAAATATCATTTGTGGGAGGCTGGTGTATTTATCAAAAGTCACATTTTTCACGTAGAGCTGTACGCGGTACGGAACACAGGAAGGTACTACCAAACAGCTTGAAAAGCTGCAATTAACATCAGAATTAAAAGTTACTAATCAGAGAATTAAGGACAGAACTCTTGTGTTTTGTTCCTGTTGTAATAGTTTGATGTTGAATTTACCGTGAAGCGGATGTTAACCGATACGTTGATTCAAGCATCTTAAAAACAACTCAGATTAACTGGCTAAGAAGACTTGTTTCCTTAAATCAAAAACAGGCTAAACATGTAAAATCACTGAAGATCCAAAATGCGTTTGATTTTTTTTTCCATTGCGAGGCAAGATTATAAACCGCAAAGATTTTCTTTTTCTGTATTGATTATCTTTTATTGCCAGTGACAAAACAGTGTTAATTAATTGTCTTCCAATTATGCTAAAAATGCAGATGTTTCCTAAGGGAAAGTTGTTCAGTTAAAAAGCATTTGTCAGAAACAAAAGTACATACGTTTTGTTGCAGACGGAAAACATCTTATACAGCAAGCTATTTTATCACTATTGGTACATAATAATATAGTCTTCCAGTGTAATGTATTTTATCTCATGAATCATTTCTTATTGATTTGATATAGTGATTGGCTGTGTAATAGACAGAGCAGGACAATGACAAATGTATGAACAGCTTATTAGTTTCGGTAAATACTGCAAATCATCCAACATTTTTAATGACACTAATTGGCTAAATTAATGTACTAACTTGCTGTCTTCCAACTTGCTCATGTAAGGCCACATATTCGAATGATCAAAGTCTTTCCATCCACTGATGGATTGTAGTAAATCTTCTTTGGATGGTTTGTGAACATAGAAGGACATTAGAATGATTTTATTAAGACACAGAGGCTCCTATTATGCTGCACTCTTTTGTTATTTCCCTGAACAGCAAAGAAGAAATATAACATAAAACAGTATGATAACAATAAATAGCATGAGAGGTATATCTCCCTTGCGACAGGAACAGCCAATTGGATACCACTCCCCAGCATAATAGGCGGTGCCTCTTTCTTTGCTGCTCCCTCAGTTTAGTAACACCAGGTCCCACGGTTTCTTATCTGTGGGATCTTTTTTCTACGTAATATTTTTAATTATTATTACAGTATTAATATTATTGATTTTAATATTTGAATTATTATTATTTAGTTATTACAGTATTAACATTATTGATTTAATGTTTACTTATTAAATTTGATTGATATATATGGTTATGTATATTTTTCTTTAGATCTTGTTTTATTTTCCTTCTGACCTCCCTGAGCCCAGTTTTTATTAATAGGGCTCAGGGACATCTGCAGGGAGTTTTGTTTCGATGTTCAGGCTTTCGCACCATCTTTCCTTCACTTTTAACCGTCCAACCACCAATTCACTGGATTTGAATGTGCGATTGTGCGTTTCATTCAGTTATAGCATTCAGGGGTGTTTTGTCCCGCGAACAAAGTGTTCAGGAGTTTTTTCCGTGAACGCATACTGCGCCTTGTATGAACGGCTTATTCGTATTATGCCGTGAACGTTCTATTAGCCTTGCGTTCATTTCAACAAACACACTCCTGGATATCTAACTTTAATTTGTGTGTTTTTACCGTTCGCAGCGACTTTTCCGTTTGCGGTTGCCATTTTCTTGTTTTTTCCCCGCGTCCTGGCCCTAGTACTGCCTCCAACTGCCGGAACTTGGAGTTGGGGTTTGGTTTTAGTGGCGGTCGGACGGCTATGGTTTTCCTGATTATAAATTCCTACTGTTTCAACTCCTGTAAGTAAAAACATTTTCTCCTTTCCCCTAGATCCTTTATTTCTGGGTTAATCAACCCTTTACTTAGGTTATACTCTTTGTATTATTGCAATTGCCAGTTCTACATATAATAATGCAATCTGACAAAGATGCCTCAGCACACTCTGGGTCTACTGCACCCATTCAGGTTGCTTTTGATGCGCCTTCAGGTGCGTCTGGAGATGGAGCAGTTTTCTCCTCTGAGTTTGATGCTTCTGCTGAAATGCAGACGTTGATTGACAATTATATGTCAAAGGCCATGACTAAGGCCCTAATGTCTGCTGTGGGAGTAATGTCTGACTCCCTGTCACAGATATTTGCACAAGCCCTGATACAGGCACAAAGATCGGCTCAGCAGACAACTACTACCCAGGCATTGCCTTTAACGACTCCTGTGCAGCCTCATTCTGGCCACAAAGCCCTTGCTAAGGTTAAGCACTTCTCAATATCAGAGATGGACAGCATTATAACTGTCACA